CATTTTATATAAGAAAATTAATCTTGATACGTAAGTGAAATAAACATCAGCTATTTTATACTTTTATCTGAGTATTATACTTAGAGAAGAGTTTAAGTTTTACCGAAGTCATTTCATGGTAAGATACTTGTACTTTTACTAAAGTATCACTTTGAAATACTTGATACACACTGGATTTTGATGGATTCAACATGGCTGCCTCAGCTAATAGACTTTTACAGATATCCAGCTCAAATTTAATGTGGCAGTAGCTGAGAGTCATTCCCAACACATACTTGACATTAGCTTGACATGAAGTCGTTATCTACACCTTGAGCATTAGATCGTATCACACAATTCGTAAGGTTCGACCAAAATGGCCACAACTGTCAATCTCAACTTGTGACGATCTAAAATTATGACTTGAACGATGCCAGGGCTTTAAAATTATTTTTTGTCTTTGTTGTCTTTATTTTTAGCAAAAATACATGTTTTGTTCAGAATATGTTTACAAGCTAATTTTCTTCCTATTTTGTCTCCTAAAACACATGATGCTGGCTTCATGAATTCTCCTTTAGTGTAGGATTGATCCAAACCATCAGCATTAAAATTTTTATCTGAGGTGTGCTCCTTTGGTCTGAGGTGAGCTTTCATGCAAACGTCTTCTGTCATCAWCCAGATAAGATGCAAATAATCAAAATCAAAATAGCAATAAAATCATAATTTAGGCAGCTTAAGAACAGTTTCTGTTTAAAAAGAAAACTATGAAAAATATTGCCTGTTCATTAACGTAGTGCCAGTTATATTTTGTGGTGTAAAATCAAATCAAATCAAACAGCTAACATGAATGTTTGGGTGAGATTTTATCATGTTACCACATCAAGCAGTTCAGCAGGATGAATGAACAATGAGCAAACAACAGGTTTTATAGAAGACTTTGTGGTCCATTGTGTGTTGGAAGGCAGTTCAGATTTACATGCCTTTCTTTTGACAATACTTCTTGCACAATAACAACAGTCAAAGAAATCACAACTCTTAGATTTTAATGAAACTTTGTTACAGTCCAGCTGTTGTGCTTCCAACGTGGAGAACCAGCTGAGAATGAGCTAATCAGTGTTCATTCCTGTTACTTTAACGCTGTAGTACTTTAATTACTATTTAAAGAGTTCATTATATGTAGTCTGCTATGACTTGTGGCAAATTTTACCCAAAAGAACAAATTTTCCTTATAGAGAACAATTAAATGGTGTGAGTGTTAAATAAACTTTAATTGGACATTAAAATCTCTGATTTGCTTTGAGCATAATTTAGACTTTAAAATACTGGAATGTCAGCAAATGGTTCTTTTTTGTGATTATTTATATAATTTTGCTTTAAGTGTTGGAAAGATTTCAAGATTTTTAAACAAACTACTGTTTTGCACTGTTTACACTTCATACATACATAGAAAAGCAGGCATTCTTGTCCTCTTTCTCACAAATGCCTGTTGTTACTAATGGACTTAGGTTCACCCCAGAGGGCACTCTGTAAAAAATGAAATGTTGGATTTACTTAACCATGTTATGTGACCTGGTTCCACTTAACTGAGTTGAGTAAATTCAAAGCAATATACCAGTTTTTTTAGCCAAAGAAAATGAGTATGTTGCTTTGAATTTACTCAACGCAGTTAAGTGGAACCAGGTAACATAACATGGTTACGTAAATCCAACATTTCATTTTTAGAGTGCAAGGTGCACACCACCCACACTCTTATTTTTTTGTCAGCTGTGAATTTTATCTGTATAGGGTTTCTCCAACATAGAACACTGCACAAACATGAAAATGGAATAAAATCAGTTTTGACACGTTGGGCCTCATGCAAGAACCGTTCGTACGCACAGATTTGTTCTTAAGTTGTGCGTACG